ATAAAGGGATGGACATGGTTAAAAACAATGCTCAGGTAGGTCGTGGCATTAAACGATGCCCAATTGGCACTAAGGGGCCTAAAGTGTGCCAAGAAAACATCCCCCACACCATTACACCACCACCACCAGCCTGCACAGTGGTAACAAGGCATGATGGATCCATGTTCTCATTCTGTTTATGCCAAATTCTGACTCTACCATCTGAATGTCTCAACAGAAATCGAGACTCATCAGACCAGGCAACATTTTTCCAGTCTTCAACTGTCCAATTTTGGTGAGCTCTTGCAAATTGTAGCCTCTTTTTCCTATTTGTAGTGGAGATGAGTGGTACCCGGTGGGGTCTTCTGCTGTTGTAGCCCATCCGCCTCAAGGTTGTGTGTGTTGTGGCTTCACAAATGCTTTGCTGCATACCTCGGTTGTAACGAATGGTTATTTCAGTCAAAGTTGCTCTTCTATCAGCTTGAATCAGTCAGCCTATTCTCCTCTGACCTCTAGCATCAACGAGGCATTTTCGCCCACAGGACTGCTGCATACTGGATGTTTTTCCCTTTTCACACCATTCTTTGTAAACCCTAGAAATGGTTGTGCGTGGAAATCCCAGTAACTGAGCAGATTGTGAAATACTCAGACCGGCCCGTCTGGCACCAACAACCATGCCACGCTCAAAATTGCTTAAATCACCTTTCTTTCCCATTCTGACATTCAGTTTGGAGTTCAGGAGATTGTCTTGACCAGGACCACACCCCTAAATGCATTGAAGCAACTGCCATGTGATTGGTTGATTAGATAATTTCATTAATGAGAAATTGAACAGGTGTTCCTAAAAATCCTTTAGGTGAGTGTATAGGCAAATAATAAGATAAGATAATAATAAGAGTAACCCAGGGTTTAAGAATGTATAGTGTGTTATGCCAGATTATGAATTACCAGGATTAATTGTTAACTCTGGTTAAAATATGAACAGTGTGAAACATAAAATAGGATAAACCAGAATCCCATTTACCTGGGTTTTTGAATTAGCCAGGTTTAATTATTTCAAGTGTGGTAGCCCTTAAATTTGTCAAAGTTTGTGGTATTATCAGTAAATATTTCCCTTAGCAGTGGATACTATTCGATCTACAACTATGGTTCACAACAATAGGCAATTGTAATCCTTAAACCAGGGGTCTCCAACCTTTCTGTGAGTGAGGGCTCCCTCAAGGGCTACTTATTACTCAAAAAAAATAAAAAAAATATAGATATATATATACATGGTAGGGGTGGAACGGTACATGTATTCGTATTGAACCGAAACGGTACGGGCGTCACGGTTCGGTGCACGAATTTGCACGCAGAATACACGGTACAAATAAAAAAAACCTCTTAAATAGCGATGAATTTCGCTCTATTCGCTTTTGGTGTGACTGTGAACGCAGCAATGAACAGGCTGCGATCAAGATTGCAATGCAGGAGTGTGTGTGTGTGTCTGTGTGCGCGAGAGAGAGAGAGAGGCGCGATGAACAGTGTGTGTGTGTGCGAGAGAGAGAGAGGCGCGATCGAACAGTGTGTGTGTGTGTGTGTGTGTGTGTGTGCGCGCGCGTGCGAGAGAGAGAGGCGCGGTGTGTGTGTGTGTGTTCGCGCGCGCGAGAGAGAGAGGCGCGGGCGCGAATCGCGCGATGAACAGTGTGTGTGTGTGTGTGTGTGTGTGTGTGTGTGTGTGTGTGTGTGTGTGTGTGTGTGTGTGTGTGTGTGTGTGTGTGAGAGAGGCACGGGCGATCGAACAGTGGAAACGTAAAAACATACTCCGTCATTTTTTTCATACAGGACATCATTAAAACTGCAAATTGTTTACTTATATTTGTGTACACTCGAACTAAAACACAACATTGTGCTTTTGTCACACTCTAAACTCTTGTCAAACTGTAACCTACACCTGTTAACAAAAGTTTTTATGGTAGTATTATTTTATACGGAAATCAATTATTTATAATTCAGATGAGAATAAAGTTAGTTAATTAAAATGAAGGAAAACAAATATCTTGATCTGAAATAGCAAATTAATTTTAAATTCATTCAGGTACAATTACCAAACATATCTCAAGGTCTTTTCGTCTTTTTAATAATTTAATTAATAAACTAATTATATAAAACTACTGTCAGTGCACTACAAATAAACTGGTCCTATGCCTTTATTAATAAAACTTATTTAAAAAAATACAAGGCTTAAGACATTTATAAAAATGCCTTCTGCATTTTTGCTTTGCTTTTCACTCCCTTGTACCGAAATCGTACCGAACCGTGATGTCTGAACCGAGGTATGAACCGAACCGTGACTTCTGTGTACCGTTCCACCCCTAATACATGGTGGCACCTTTTTCCCTTTTACTTTTAATAACCATCATATGTCAAAGCAATGATAAAATATCTTCAACAATCAATCCTGAAAAATTATGAAAATATATTAATGTACATTTTATAATTTTGTTTCTGAAAATCGCAAGTTTTGTTCATGCTTAATTAAGCCTGCTAAAATTTATTGTATGAGCTTCTGTTACTTTCACTATTCTGTTAATTTAATCACATATTTTTTCTGTAATGAAGTCAAGTCACCTTTATTTATATATCGCTTTTTACAATCGAGATTGTTTCAAAGCAGCTTTACAGTGATAACAGGAAAATAATACATAAACAGTTTGTTTCTGCTGTACATCCGATTTAAAAGTATATAGTAGTCCAGCTTAAGTAAGTTTAGTGAGGATTCATTTGTTGTAAAAAAGTTATTAATTTAGTTCATTTATACACTAAATTGCCAAAAGTTTTGGGACGTCTGCCTTTACATGCAGAATAGGACTCTGTGCAGGCCAGTCAAGTTCCTCCACACCAAACTTGCTCATCCATGTCTTTATGGACCTTGCTTTGCGCAATGGTGAGCAGTAATAGATTTTGTATTTTCAGTCATCAGATTCATTTACATTTTGACTCTGTATCAGATGTAATCCAAAGACACAGATGTCTGTGTCTGCAAAGGTGTGTGCCAAATGGCCCATTCAGATGTATGGCCCACAGAAACTGATTGGTGTGAATGACGAAGAATCAGAGTGGATTACATTTACATTTATTCATTTAGCTGACGCTTTTATCCAAAGCGACATACAATTGCTATATATGTCAGAGGTCGCACGCCTCTGGAGCAACTAGGGGTTAAGTGTCTTGCTCAGGGACACATTAGTGTCTCACAGTGGATTCGAACCCGGGTCTCTCACACCAAAGGCTTATCCACTGCGCCATCACCACCCAAGTTAGCAAGTTAGATCGATCTCCTGTGGGAGGTCCTAACAGGTTTCTATTGTTTGTAGCCCATAGGCTTTGTCTTCATGTATAAAGTTCTGTCTCACAGACAGAACTTTGGGTTAAGATTGTTGAAGGTCGACATGCTAACATCGCTGCTGAAGGACTGCTACACTACAAACCTTCAATAAATTCTTCTCCCCACAAGAACTGGTCAAGCTTACTTATTTTATGTATTGGAGAAATCTAATACATTGGCGAGCCACCCAAACCACTGCTCACCAAATACACCAAAATCTAACAGTGTCAAGCAGTTTTTTTATGATAAAACTTCATAATAGTAGTTTAATCTAAAATGTTGCTACCGTGCATGAAAATGTATGAATGCATACTTATATTTTTGGGCTCATTAACCCTCTAGGCGCCACGGTCGAGTTTACTCGACAAGATGCGGCACTGAATAAAACGGACGATTTTGTCAAATTGGGTGTCAAATTTCGTTCGACCTCCTCTCCACTGGATGGCAGACATGTCATACTTTATCCCCGACTCAAAAAAACATCATGCTTCTATACAAAATGTTCGAGTTAGAGCGCATTGAATCAGTGCGATCAAAAGCGGACCTAGTGTGCGAGTGAGACGTTTTATCAGAGCCTCTCTGCAATCGCGGCGACAGTATTGTGGTGGAGACTTTGTCTAATACCACTGGGTATGTTAGACGAGGTCGAAGTTATTCATAGGACAGTTAGGGGGCAACGTGGAGGTAGGGTGGGGATTCGCAATGACAATGACAGTAGTCCAAACTGTGCACACTCGGCCCGCGCGAGGCAGATCTGGCCGTGCTGCTCGTATCATCTCACTCATGATCTGTGCCTTGCCGTGGCGAGTGAGCTTTTGAACTAAACAGGTCTTGTCCACTTGTGTTTGTATGTCATATGAATAATATATATGTGCCCCATACATTGAATCAGAGTGCCTACTGTATTTAGTAAATAGAAAATCTCTACAGCAAAAGGCCAACCACTACATGCATTCGGTTTGTTTCTACCATTTATTAGTAATGATTTACACAGTTTGTTTACTACTTACTATTTACCTGAGCATTCAGTATTGTGCAATATAGCATACAGAAGGTGATGGACATTTTGGGGGGAAAGAAGTGCTGCATTTTATCATTTAAAAATGTGACTTTTCATGAAAATTCTATAATCCAAGATTGCCGCTACCATATGACGTCATAATATGCAAATTAGATGGGAAAATGTAATCCCTACATAAACTTTGGGTCATCCTTAATATTTCTCTAATTTACAGAAAGTCTCTATCTTTTATCACTTTTAAGATATAGCCTTTTGAAATTAAGATGTCAAAATCGAACGTTTTAGGAAAAAACCTCTGGCGCCTAAAGGGTTAATATTACTTGCGCTTGGGAGTGGGCGATATACCGGTAGACAAGATTAACCGGTAGAAATCTTGGACTATTTTCTCTAACGCCGTTACGTTCATGTGACTCACATTGCTGTGCTGCATGCGAGTCACGAAAACGTAATGTTTGCATGCGTTTTTAAGCATTGTGGTTTAAAAAATGGGTATTTTAAACAGTTGAAGTGCAATAGGCAGCAAAGCCGAAATCATTTCATTAAGACTGTCGACAGTTTCTTTTCAACTTATCATTTGATTATATCCATTTATATGGTAAGTGTAATTATGACTGTGCTGTGCTCTCCACTCAGGACTGGGATGATGATGTCAGACGTTTTAAATGGATCTTCCGTCATCCTAGTGACACAAAGCTTGTGGTTCTTATAGGAAATCATGACATCGGCTTCCATAACGAGTGAGTTTAAGGGTTATAATTGACCTACAGAGCCAATGTGTGGTTTTCACTCACCCATATTGTCTATTAGAGCTTCTGAGTCAGAGTAAAATGTTTTCACTGTATAATATTTCATTAAGGATTGCAGTAAATTTAAAAATATTTAAAAAATAACCACTTTTTTACCAAATCGCATAGTCCTACTTTGAAGTGATGTTAACTTGACTTGAATGTTATCTTTTTTGAGAAATTGTAATACATTTTGACTCAAGAATGTGGATTTGAAAATTAAATGTTTATTGTAGCATGCTGTCAGCATCATATCAGATTAGTATGTAGCAGTAAGACTGACAGGGTGTTTGAAAAAAGCCACTTCCAATGCCTTTTTAAAAAATACTATTGTGGTATGGTATGAAGCTTTGAAACATCTTTGACAGATTTTACAATTATTACAATTTACCCTTATTTGGGGAAACATTATCTTTACGCCAGGGACACATTGATGCTGGTTTAAAATCTGGGCATCAAAAGGTTTAAAGGTGCCAGATTTATTTAGCAATGTTTTTTCAGGAATTAATAACTGCAGGGAAAAAAATACAGAGAAGATGAATTGCAGAGTATCTGCTTAAAGGCCCAAACCCAGACAATTAATACCTGGTTTAAACTTCTGCAGTACAAGTTTATGAGAGTATACATAACTCCAGAATGACTACATAAATGTAAGCCCAACATTCCCAATCAATGTATAAAATGCAACCTAGAAATAGGAACTTTATATCATTGCTTATGGAAGTGTCCCCAAGTTCAACTTTTTTGGGAAAAGGTTTTAGATTTTTTTTATCACTGGTGGTGAAACAGAATGTCCCAAATGTCCTGAACTTTGTAAATTAAATATTTTCCCTGTAACTTGCACTTTACCTTACTCTGGTAAGAATATGTTGATCTTCTGTTTATTATAATCAAAACTTCTTTGGCAAATGTCTTTGGAAAAACTCTGAAAGCTCTCATTTATCTCATATATTGTTAAGGGAAAACCTGAAACTTTGAAAAAACTTGTGGAATCCCTTTATATGATTTTTGATAAAGCTGAACAAAATTATTTATTTTCTGTGTAACCTGGCTAAGCATGCACCACGTCATGATATTAATGTACCATTGTTTTGACATATGTATAGTATAATTGTTGTTGTTGTGTTTTTTTCCTGTTTAATGTTTTATTGTTAATGTTTCTAAAATCAAAAAAGACTGTTGAAAAAAAAAAGACTGACAGGAGGTAAGAGGTCATTTTATATTCAAGCCATTTTCAGTAGGTGTGTACAGGTGCCTGATTTATATAGGTGTGGTTCCTTTATTGTCTTTCTCTTACTTTGGCAGAATGACTAAGCAGAAGTTGGAGCGGTTTGAGCAAGTATTTAATGTGACATCAGCAAGGATCCTCACCATTAGAGGAGTCAAGTAAGTTTCTAAGCATTTTCATCAATTCCTCCACCAAGATTTATAATAGTTTGTCTCTGTATTACTTGTTTATTTTCACAGTTTCTTGCTGGTGAATAGTGTTGCACTACATGGTGATCACTGCCCCATCTGCCAACGCGTAGAGGAGGAGTTATACAAACTCTCACATGCTCTTAACTGCTCTTTTCAGGTAATAAAGATTCTAGATATAATAGTTTCATCAGTAACTGTAATTATTGAATTTCTCTTCGTAACTATAACCAGCTGTTTTCTTTTTTTTTCTTTTTGATGTATTAATGCTAATTCTGCATTCTGTAATTGGTTGCATTTATTTTCTAGGATGCACACTTACCACAACTGGTATTGTTTGTTTTAAACCCAGGGGGTTGCAAACCCCTTGGGGGTAGGCCTGTCGCGATAATTAAATAACCGTCTAATCGCGATTATTTGATCTAACCGTGATTGTTTCAGACAACTGCGATTATTGTGCTCTTTTATAGGCCTACGGCACAAGGGGGAGTCATGGACCGAAAGAAATAGACAAGCACTAATTATGTTTTCCAGCAATATATTCAAAGTCATCTGAAGCCATTCCATAGCTTAATGTGAGGGACAGAAGTCTATTTACATCATTAAATTAAAGTTAACGGAAACTCGTCTTCCCTCCACTGCGGCTGTCAATCATTCTCTATTCAGTATTCAAACAGCGCCTCGTCCGGTAGGATGGTAGGATGCAAGGTAAAACTCTCTCCAATATGATATATTCACATTATAATGCTTGATCTGTAGATAAAGGGCTGTGGATTTGCATAAAATACTTTATTTTGCTGGAGTTTATTGCTGTTTTTAAACGACTCGCTACCGTGTGCCTGTTAGATCACACACGTCACAAGGACTATGAATTGGCATCAAACGCAAAATAACTGGAATTTAAAACTGTGAAGAAACAAGTGATCAATAAACTGTTGGACAGATATACACTAGGATTTGTGCGCTCGAGATTTCTTCGCTTTGTGCCGTGAACTTTTAAACGCACACTTGTGCAGCGCTGCACACTGTGACTCCATGTTGCTTTAAGCACATCATTCTGTACCCACGATGCGCATACGCACTTTGTGCTGCTCTGTTTTGAAGCGTTTCATATTATCATGGTTTTGCGCACTGAAAGATTATTAAAAGCCTATATTTTTTTTGTTGTATCTATCATATCTTGTTGCCCCATTAAAAAGCTATAAAAATATAAAGTTGTTAAATGTATGAATACCTGAATGAATTGTATAAGAGTACTAATAGTAATTTGTTTTTATTAACATGTTTAGATTTTATAAAATTACTGTGCAGATTTTTTCAAGAATTACTTTTTGCTGCTGATTTATACACTCACTAAGTTTAATAAAAAAAATTGTCATAGCTATTGAATACATTTATTTAATATTTAAAGGTTTTAACTGTAATCTTACACTGCAAAATAATAACTTACAAAGGATTAAATTCATCACAATCATTTAATAAATGAAGCACACAAAAAAATGTATGACAAAGCCCTAAAACAGACAATTAATCGGCATAATCGTCAAAGCCCTAAAACAGACATTTAATCACCAAAGCCCTAAAACTGGCAATTAATCGGCATAACCGCAATTATTTTTTAGACAATTAATCGTCAGCCGAATTTCATAATCGTGACGGGCCTACTTGGGGGGCTTGTAATGGAACTGCAGGGGATTTGAGAGTTGATGAAAACCTAAAAATGAATTAAAGTGGTCCTATTGTGCTATTTTTCAACTTTCCTTCATGTGTAATGAAGTGTTTTAGCATGAAAAAGGTCTGCAAAGTTACAACATTTACATTAGGGCTGTGACGGTATGGGATTTTTTTCTAACCGCAGTGAAGAAGCAACAAATCACTTGGTTTGGCGGTTAACCCTCTGGGGACCAAGGGGTTTTTGGGGCCCTTGGGATGTTTTGACATGCACTGACATTTGTGCTTTTTTCAGTTATTTATAAACATGTTAATGGCAAAGGTGTAAATTCACTCTATATAGCACAAACGGGGCTACCATATTATGTTAGCAACATGTATGTACATGTTTGTATTTTTGAGAGAATATTATTTATGCATGGTTATTGAAAAACTTAAAAATAAAAATTTCTGAAATAAGGCCACAAAACACATATTGATTATTTCTTCACAAGACTTTTGAAAATTGTATCACATAGTCTAGAATATTTGCTCCAAAACTATGTGAGAATCATCCTGACTACTCATTCAGATAAGTCAATAAAGTCTTTTAGAATGTGTATGACGTGTTTTGTTTGAGAAAGCTTAATGCGAGGAGGCGTGATCTCTCGTTAATATGTATGGCATTTCACACCTGAGAAAGACAAAGACCCTCCCATAATGGCCCTATTAGGTGCTATCAGGCCCTATCATTACGAGGAGCCTTGCACAAAGAATGAGGAGATTTAAAAAAGAATGGCTTTTAGATTGTTTGGATTTATTTACAACACAACATAATCCAAAGATACACAAAAAAGCACATTAGTAAACACACTGATCTAAAGACAGAGGCTTGCACAGTCACACAGCATGGTCCCATTCCTGAAACATAGTACATACCTGTCATTTCCATTTTTCATTACAGTCTCCTGTGAATGTTGAACTCAGCAGGACTCATGGCATTTTGTCCCTGTAAAAAAATAAATAAACACCAGTGAACATGCTGATATCAAGAGAAACTATATGGCTGCACGACTTTGGGCATAAATTGTAGATTTTTCTGGTTAAAATAGCTTTTTAATTATATATATATATATATATATATATATATATATACATATACACTCACCGGCCACTTTATTAGGTACACCTGTCCAACTGCTCGTTAACACTTAATTTCTAAGCAGCCAATCACATGGCGGCAACTCTTATTTAGGCATTTAGGCATGTAGACATGGTCAAGACAATCTCCTGCAGTTCAAACCGAGCATCAGTATGGGGAAGAAAGTTGATTTGAGTGACTTTGAACGTGGCATGATTGTTGGTGCCAGAAGGGCTGGTCTGAGTATTTCAGAAACTGCTAATCTACTGGGATTTTCACGCACAACCATCTCTAGGGTTTACAGAGAATGGTCCGAAAAAGAAAAAACATCCAGTGAGCGGCAGTTCTGTGGGCGGAAATGCCTTGTTGATGCCAGAGGTCAGAGGAGAATGGCCAGACTGGTTCGAGCTGATAGAAGGGCAACAGTGACTGAAATAACCACTCGTTACAACCGAGGTATGCAGCAAAGCATTTGTGAAGCCACAACACGCACAACCTTGAGGCGGATGGGCTACAACAGCAGAAGACTCCACCGGGTACCACTCATCTCCACTACAAATGGGAAAAAGAGGCTACAATTTGCAAGAGCTCACCAAAATTGAACAGTTGAAGACTGGAAAAATGTTGCCTGGTCTGATGAGTCTCGATTTCTGTTGAGACATTCTGATGTTAGAGTCAGAATTTGGCGTAAACAGAATGAGAACATGGAACCATCATGCCTTGTTACCACTGTGCAGGCTGGTGGTGGTGGTGTAATGGTGTGGGGGATGTTTTCCTGGCACACTTTAGGCCCCTTAGTGCCAATTGGGCATCGTTTAAATGCCACGGCCTACCTGAGCATTGTTTCTGACCATGTCCATCCCTTTATGGCCACCATGTACCCATCCTCTGATGGCTACTTCCACCATGTCACAAAGCTCTAATCATTTCAAATTGGTTTCTTGAACATGACAATGAGTTCACTGTACTAAAATGGCCTCCACAGTCACCAGATCTCAACCAAATAGAGCATCTTTGGGATGTGGTGGAACGGGAGATTCGCATCATGGATGTGCAGCCGACAAATCTGCGGCAACTGTGTGATGCCATCATGTCAATATGGACCAAACTCCCTGAGGAATGCTTCCAGCACCTTGTTGAATCTATGCCACGAAGAATTGAGGCAGTTCTGAAGGCAAAAGGGGGTCCAACCCGTTACTAGCATGGGGTACCTAATAAAGTGGCCGGTGAGTGTATATACACACACACACACACACACACTGCTTAGAATTAGAAGTGAACACACCCATGCTAAAGTTGACTAAAAAGAGGAATAAAAAATCTTAATGCCTTAATTAAAAAAATGAGGAGAACTCCAACCTTTAGGGACGTGAATGATGTCCCTGAATTCTTTGTGAATGAATAATGTATCGCAAATAATTAAATGTTCTTCTTTAAAATACAGGGTGCATACGTCTGGACACTTCTATCCCCAGAAACTCCTAACAAAAGCTGATGTCTTTATTTTGAAGCTTATTTGATGCTTATTTGATTTGAAAAACTTTATCCAAAACTAGTCAACGAAATTTTGTCTTTTATTTCGTCTGTAACAGTGCGTATCTGTGCGTTCATTCATTCATTCATACACACACACACAGAGAGAAACATGATTCACATTTAAACAGTATGCTATTTGTCCGTTTACAGACACTAACGTTATTCTATATCGCGATTAGAACAAAGCACAAGCATAAAACACTTACACTTCTCAGCTGAATCTGTTGGTCCTCCTCGAAGTGAAACCAGCACTTGTTCTGTGGTAAATGTCCCAGGATTATTCCTCATAGCCGCGCAAGACGAATCTTAATCTGACAAAAAAATATAGTGTGTTTACAGCATTTGCCTGGGGGCGTTTATCTATTTTGCAAATGGCCTCAACACATTATCTTATGAATAGCGCGCTCTGCGAGTGGGTGTGAACAAATTAACGATAATGAGCTGAGACAGGAGAAACTGTACTTCTCTTTAGTTTCAGACAGATTACATTGCAGGAGAATATTTGTTTTAAATGTGAATTGTTTTATTTAAAAGTAGAAATTTTTCTAGAAGACGTATGTTTCATGTTTGTGTGATTAGTATTAGCGGAGTTTCCGTTCATTTTCCAGACATGTTTCAGAAAGATTTTTGCGGAGACAGAGTGAGCTGAAAGCGCACCCTGTTTATTTTATTTATTTAAAAAAAAACACAAGGTTTTGATGTTAATGTGAGTGTACACAAAAAAAGAAGACCCTCTATAGTTTATAATCATGTATTGATTTTATTTATATGACCATAAATGACGGAGTATTTTAAGTCTATGTTGCTGCTATGTGAAAAAAAAAAACAGCAAA